AATAAACTCGCCTGCCTTGATTAGCATGTCTTCGACTATTCTGTAGGGATGTTTCAGTGATTGATCCGCTAGTTGAAGGATAATAGATGCCGCCTTAGGATTTCCTAATCCTAGTTTCCTATAAAGAGGCAAGTGAATTATATTAATACTTGCTCCTGAATCAATTAAACAATTTATATCATGTAAATTTCCTTGGAGCAGGGTAGAATGAAACTCCCTGGATCTTTCAGTTTGGGAGGGATCTTGTGTTGTATGATCCCGCTGCATTCTTCAGATAGTGCTATGGTTTCGTGCTCGGGCAGCTTCCTCTTTTTGGTCAACATCTCCTTCAAAAACTTGGAATAATTTGGGATTTGAAGGATTGCCTCAATGAATGGGATGTTGACATGTAGCTTNCACACAAATTACACAAATCAGGTAAATAAAGTGACACATATAAAAGCTCACGGCGGTTATATGAGGAGGAGTGGCGTGAATGGGAGTTCGAAAGCTAGATGTTAGGAGAATATGCCTAGCTGCAGACGGCGCAGATATGCAACGCCGTCGCCTGGCCGATGACAAATAGGCTGGGTCTATGTCGCGTGTAGTACTGCAGTCGCCGCCGATGAACCTTCGCGATGCTGCTGCAAATTAGGGAGGGAGGGAGGACGCCGGCAGCTATGAGAGACTCTAACCGCCGACAGCTATAAGACTCTCTCTGAGATAGGGGGTGAGGGAGAGGAATTATACTGAAGTCGAGAAATTAGGGAATTAAGTTAGGGTGGGGTGGGGTGGGGAGGGGTGGGGTGTAAATTAATTTTTATAATATTTAATATTTAATTAAATATAAAAAATCAGTATCTATCTATAAAACCTCTGATTTTTGAAAATAAAAACATGAAATCTGACTTTTGAACTTGGATCTTGAAAAGTAGGGCTCCATGTAATTTCCACTATTTATATTTCCCACTTAGCCGCCAGATTTAGTAGTCCAATTTTTAAAAGTCCAGCCCAATTAATTTAAGTCTTGCTTCCAAGTCCTCCAATCTTTTGAATTAATGCAATTTAGTCCTCGTAATTTGAATTTTGTCATTTTTCACTATTTTGCACTATTTTCTTCAATTTTTCGTCAAACATTGAGTTTTACCTACAAGATGCAATATAATACAATTTAGGTTGTATTTTACCAAAAGAATAATAAAATTCTATAATTTCAAGTTCCAAATAAGAGTAGAAAATACATTTATCAGTGTTCTTATAGTTCTCTCTGTTTCTATAATTTAATTATTATTTTTTTATATTGGGATATGATCATCATTCTTACTTTTATGTTTGATAGAATTTGTGGTAAGTGACTATAATTAAATACATTGATATATGCCCATGGAAGGACTTATATATATCTTGATAATTTGATTTATATTCAATATAGAACATGGGTGGTCACATAGTTAAGAATAAGGAACCAATGTCACGATCGGATGAGAATAAACATGCATTTATCGAAATTCTTTATGAGAAAGTGAAATCAAACGCGTTGCATTCTACATTCACGAAAGACGAATGGGGTAGGATCAATAAAACCATTATAGCTTCAACAAAAATGGATTATGACATAGATATATTAAAGGGAAAGTGGAACCGCTTACGTAAAATTCATCGCATGTTCTTCAAACTTTTGGGACATACAGGTGTTACATGGGATTTAAATACCAACAAAGTTAATATTGTAGAGAAAGTTTGGCAACACTTTTATACGGCATATATATTTATTAAAGAATATTTTCATCATTAGTTTTTTATCTTATCAATTGTACCCCTTTCGTTGAACACTGTGACAATGTAGCTTCTTTTTTCAATGGTTGATAAACAAGTCGGATTACAAAATGTTCAAGAGAGAAGGCTATAAACACTACCACACTCTTGGAGAAATATTTAGCGGGACTACAGCTACTGGAGGATTAAGCAATGCCTCCACTTAGCTTCCAAAAACATCAGATGAAAAAATGCAGCTATAAGATAATTTTTTGAACATGGGAGTGCATGCACATGTGGAAAATGATGATGAAATCGATTATGTTTCAAATACTCGTCGGCGTGAGGAAATTGGTACATCGGGTGAACACCGACGTAAGGAACCTAAGGTCAATAAAAGTGATAAACTCGAGGCCTGTATTACATAGTGGTCATCTACAGTTAGTTTGAGGAATGAAGAAACTGAACTTAGAACGCTTTACCTAAAAGAAAAGCTTGCAAAGATCCAAGAAAAATCATGTAATCAATCGAACAGTATTATTGGTTTCAGCATTCCAAGAACATGATACACAAATGGTTTAAACGAGTTGGAGGGGTTGTTTGTTCGTTTGGCGCTGAGATAATCCGTCCGACAAATCAAGATGTTATGCATGAGCGGATTTTGCGAAAATATTCTTTCTTTAAGGATTGTATAGACGCAATAGATGGTACACATATTGCAGTTTCGGCACCTGCATCGCGACAAATATCTTTTCGTAGAAGGAAAACTAATGTAACACAAAATGTGACGTTGATATGTGATTTTGATATAAAATTCAAATTTGTGTATTCTGGCTGGGAAGGTACAGCTAATGATTCGCGAGTATTCGTTGTCGAGTCGCAAAAAGCTCGAATGACTTTCCAATGTAATGGGAAGGTATATTCTTATATTTCAAATAATTATTGTGAATGTACCTACATTGTTACACTATGTAAGTCTTTTTTATTTTGCAGATCAATTTTACCTTGTTGATTCTGACTATCCAAACATGCCGGATTTCTTGCCCCTTATCGAGGTCAAAGATATCATCTGTATGACTATGTTGGACAGGGAAAGACTATGTGGGAAGGAAGAATTGTTCAACTATAACACTCCTCATGTCGTAATATTATTGAACATTGCATTTAAGTTTTAAAGGCAAGATTTCCTATTTTGAAATTAATTATCAATTATTCACTTAGTAGGCGAATACAAATCCCTACGACATGTTGCACAATACAAAACTTTATTCGCCACAAGCACACTTTAGATAAGTTGTTCGTTGAGTATTCAAATGAGAATATGGTGTTTCAAGATGTACACAAGTCAGGGATCAAATTGCTACACAAATTTGAAATGACTACTCAAGACGTCGTATATGATTCCGTAGATTTATTTTATATTTTATTTAGTGTATGCTTATTTTTCCATGACACTTAAAACTCTAATGGTAACTATTGAACTGTTTTGCCAAATTTAATTTAGGTTGTATTTTTTATATTTCGAAAAAAATATTTCAATATTTTCTCGCCATCTATTTTGAATATGAGATCCCAAGATGTACCTGTGAAGTCTAGAAGCACCATTGTAAACTTCTTCTGCAACTTTCATGAAGTCACATTTATGAGCTGAAAATGCTGCTTTAAATATTTTGATATCTTTTTTGTTATTGACATAACTGTGTTTCAAAATATCATTTAAACATTCAACTATCAAAAGTGTTTAGGCCTTCGGAAAGACCATTTCACCATCCATTCGCCAGCCGAACACTCATCTCAAACTTCGCTTCGCACAGCGCGGAGAGCAATGTGTTGTGCAACTCCGCACATCTTCGTGCAGCGCGAAGATTAGTCTGTGTTGCATGGAGATTAGTCATATAAGTTGACACCTATAATATATTTCATCAATAAAATATTTTTGATTATTTAGTTATCACCTAAGTTTTGAAAATTTAAATTTATTGTGTTTTGAATTGGCATAGACTTTACACCTGTGATATGATTTTTTCCCTTAATATTAATTCTCATTCGAAGTTCATGATAGCATAAGATTTTTGTACATATGGAACACTTGAAAAACTAAACATATACCGTTCAAACTAAAGTATAAATTACATAATTCTATTATTTTATATCGTATAGATGACTTGTTTGCCATTTGGTGACTGCTTTTCAGTCACCCAAGCGGGCAATTCTGGCACGATCATTGGTGGGCTCGTGAGTGCGCTTGCCTAGGAGACGAGTGTGAACCACCCTCGGGTGTGATTATGAACTGCTTGCTAACACTAATATTATCCACTTTATTTATAATAACACAATTCCTCATATGTTATTTATTAATTAATTTGATGTAAAATTTTACTCTCGAGAGAAATGAAATTAAACGTTTTAAACCCTTTGTCGTGCACTTAATGTATAATGAAGTGTATCCGTATGTCAATTTATTCCAAGAGTAATCATTAAGGAGAAATGATCCAACGGGGGATTTCTTATTGTCAAAATAGAAACACGGTTCAAGTGTATCTCCATGCTAGAATGTTCACCTCGCACTTCTGATAATGACAAATGGCTCGTCTCATTGCGATCTTTTAATTCTCAAAGGTCAACTGCTTTCGCTCCATCTTTGGCAGTCTCGACTAAGATGAATGACATTTTATTATGATTTTTAACGTCACTCATCAATATTTATTGTGATTCTATGTTTATTGAATTTTCACCTAATCAATATGATATATATGAAATGGGAACATGAATACGAGATAAAAATGTGTGATAGTTTTACACACTTGTTATTGAGCCACGTTGCAGCTCTAAGTTCATTTAGACGTTACTCCGTCATCTTCATGTACTTAGAAAAACTAGTCTTTTAACTTTGACTAAATACAACATAAAATACTGAAGGGCATTAAAACAAAGTTTCTGAGTTTTATCACTCATATTGTCAAATGACCCCATTCATGTTGGATTATTTTTCATGGATCTCAAATGAAACCAAATTAGCTGCAACAAAATTTTGCATCATCATATATGATTTTGCCACATCCACCGAAAAAGAACCCATGCACTAACAAATGAAAAACCCAGAATGTGGATTAATTTAACAAGTGATAAACAACACGTTCTCCACAAAAACAGCCAGTTTGAACGAAATGCTACCATCACAGACCTTAACACAAGCCTTGCGCCAGAAAAATCACCCTAAAAAAAAGAGAATGTTGAAGTGAGATGCTCTACTTTTCATCTTCTTCTTAACTGGAAGAGGCGTTCTTTCTTGCAGCATAAACCCGATAAGCAGCCACCCCAACAATGGCTACTGCAGCTCCAACTGTAATAAAGGACAACATTAGTAAAACCATCTTGAAAGTGAACATATTGACACGGGATAAGTGCTTAGATTATGAATAATTAAACTAGGACTTCATATAAAATGAGAAAATTGCAGCAGATTTCTCTTCATCCCATTCGAATGGTAACAAGTTGATCCCCGACTTAAAGTTATTAGCAAGAGTTGCTCTCAACCTTTCAAGTTTGTAGGAAGTTGGACTCTAATGGCCGGACACTGTCCACTTGATGGAGAAAAAGGCACGTGACTTACACATATCTAACTATTTGAGATGTAAAATGGGTAAAAACTTGTATATTTGATCTCAACTAATGATGTATAACATAACTATGACAACTAAATTTGACAATGAATCATGGGACACTACCACCTGGACTGTCTCTACTAATGGCAAATAATGTTACTAAAAAAATAAAGAATAGAAGATCAGCAAAAGGAAGAAGAAAACAAGAAAAAACACTCATCTTCCCTACCCCTCCCCCTATGGCTGGCATTACCTTGTCAATACTTTTCCCATTTTTAAGTCTCCTGCAAGTGTTATCTCATCCATATGACATGCAAAAAGAAACTTCTATACATGAGTTGTAGTTAAAGGTGTTCCCTTTTTTCCTTTAACCTTTATGTGTACTCATGGACAGTCTCCTCGGACAATGAAGAGGCAATATCTTCTAGGTCAGTTCCTTTTACCATATAGTAGCTTATGATCCAGTGGTAGATAAGTGTTACCAACCTAGTTTCTTCAGCAACTTACCTTAAAAATCTAAATGGAGTATAGTGTCCAAGGATAAGTTAAGCAATGCAGGAACCCTGAGTGGAACTGTGGAACTGAAAATTCCGTCTCTCATAAATTTCAACCAAGTTATGAATTATTCATCAATCAAACGTGAAGAAGAACTAGGTTTCGATCAATTACAACATAAAGAAGATAAAAATTCAAGTCTTGAGTCAGAGAAGAAGTATTAAGGTGCATTAATGTGACGACTACAATCATTGTTTTACTTTCCTTTTCATTCTCTTTTCATATATTTTCTTTTAAGCATTACCCAAGTTTACCCTCCAAAAGTGAAACAAGCAAATCCAATGTTAAGACGTTTTTTGACGGTCAAGTGGACAGTTTCCATGCACTGGGGGCTAGCTAACTAAAGATTAGAGAGGTTGAGAAGACTCCTACCAAGAACATAGCAACATGACCAACTTGTTAAAACTCGATTAGGTTAGGGACCTCAGCTGCAGTTTTCTTTCCATTTAAGAAAATATTAAAATGAAAAAACCAAAAGAGAGAGAGAGATGATCTACATAAAGGTGAAAAACAAAAATATAATCTGGCAAAACAAATTTAAGAAAAGAAGCTAATTACTAAGGTTAATTATTCCCTCAGAGACCTTTGGACATCATAAAAGTGGAGAACCATCTCAAACCTTGAGATAAATAGCTCGAAGTAATTTCTCCAAATGTAAGATACTGGGTTATTTAGTAGATATGTGGCAGGTAAGGAAGAACTAAAGAGGAATTGTTACCAAGTTCAATAACCAATGGAGTGGGAAAACTAACACTGGTGGTTCCAACCCCAATTTTTTGGAGATTTTACAATATAGAGCTCAGAACATACAAAGTTAAGGGCATAACCACTTTAACATATCAACCTTTAAAACTGACAGTGGTATAACCATAGGCTTTGAATAAGCCTTGCGAGTCCAATCATATACACGGCAATGATAAAAAGAATTTTTTAAATGGAAAAAAAAAAATACTTTCTGAGCTCCTTACTGCAGTGTTTTAGATTTCAATGAACTGTGAGTGAGACAAAGCTAAAACCCTGTTGGCAATAGCATAATGCTAGAAAACCACGTACCTGATACAAACATAAGGGAGCGATTAACAAATCTGTGATACTGCTTACGGCTTTTTCCAGCTGCAGTTTCAGGAATGCTCAAATGGGGGTGCTCTGCTGCACTTATAATCCTTTGAAATATATTACTGAAATCTCCCAGCTTTGTGCTGATAGGAATAGGAGCCTCAATCCCCATGTCCTGACTTACCTGTAAAAACATTATAGCAGAATGCTATCAGCTTCAGGCACAGAAACTACATCAGAACCAGCAACTTATTAAAAAGTTCGTTCAAAGATGCACAAGAACTCCACGGTGCAAGGTCCATCATTCTAACCATGCATAAATGATGCTATACCAGTAAATCCCTGTGTGCTACACAATTTGCAAGGGTCTGACATCACGTGTAACTCAGCTAAATTGCTGGGACTGACACCACATGCGTAACTCTGATAAATTGCTGGGACTGCCACTTCAAATTTGGTAGTGCCTGATGTCTGGGCAACTATTTATTCAGTCTGCACAATCAGACTGACTAAAGACTTATCCTACATACAGATTTTTTATGTATTTTAAACAAAATGCAAGAACCTTAGAAAGTTCTGGTAGGTAGCTGAAGCATTTCTTTACGTAGATTTATTATGGAATTATATAAGATTTATCAGTATCAATAAATATCCTTCACTTCAAAATCATAATGAGTAGGCTACAAGATGAAGTGTGTACATCAAGTATAAGCATTACGTGTGCATGTAACTGTAAAGTAGTGCTCGATGAATATTGATAAAGAGATCAAATATCCATGCCCACTGGAGAAGATTTATACCCTTGTTGAATCTTGAATCTCGGTCAAATAAGGATCAAGATCGTCCTTAGCAGCAACAATGAGGCAAGGCACTTCGTAACCAGTAGCTTCTCCATGACTGGCAACATCCAGAAGCATCTCAGTTGCTTTCTGCCATGAGGGTTCACGGGAACTGGAAAGGAAAAAATACAAATTCATGGGCATTAGAAGACAATAATATGCCAAATCAAGAAATTAAGGAAATAAGCAGCAATATATAATAGGTGAATAGACTCCTGTTCTCTTGATTCAATACAATAGGGAAGATAAATGGAAGCAAGCATCAGCTTAAACATCAATGTATGGATAGATCATAAGAAAACAAGCCATACTTGAGGCTCGCTGATACATTATGATTTCTGAAGCAACAAACCCCTAACAAACTTATCAACCAACAGAACTCCCATCTTTTTCTTAGAGCATATAACATCTTACTATTAGAAAATGAGCTCAAAGCAATAGGTTGTCCCAATTATTTAAAGAGTATTAGTCATATTCTGCCTCTCACAAATATCACTAAGATACATAGATTTCGTAATCAATATCTCTAAGCTTATATGCTGTTATTCCTTCGTCCTTGTAACCAGTATCCCAAGCGTGTGCTTATTAGATTGCATTCACCAGTTTGTATTTGCGATACCTCTAGACATCGCAGGACCCTACTCAAGATAAACTAGGGGACTTCCATAGGCAAGTGCATGAAGTTTAAGCAGCATGCCTTATAAACATTTGGGTGATTTATACAGATTTTTTATTCATTTGTTTTCTTTAGGCTTTGCAGTTTGTTTCCTCTCAAATAGTGAACAAAAAAAACCGCCAATCCGCCAAATTGAACCGAAACCAAGGTTTTGAAACTTTTGGTTTTGGCTCAAGTTGTTTAGATTTCAACCGTTTCAAAACAAACCAAACAGTTTGGAAATGATTTGGTTTAGGCTTCGATTGTTAAAAATTGTTAAAAATCAAACCGAACAATTCACCCGATTTTTTTAAAAAAAATAATTTGTTTTACCCAAAATACATAATTTATTAGTTCAATTTTAGAGTTTGTTTGGTAGGGATTTTTGGGGGAAAATTTGATTTTTGAATAGTGATATGATGGGAAATGTGTGGTTTGGAAAATGAAATGGTCTGGTTTGGTTGGGAATTTTCAAACCGTCTCAAATGATTTTGGTTTGGAAATAGCCCAAAAAACTGCCCAAAACGAATATGAGGAGATATCCCATTGATTGCCAAGGAGGTGACTTAAACCTCCTTTGATAATTTTCATCTTTCTTTAAAACGAAGTCTTTACTCTTATTAGTTGATAGAAAGGTAACAAACTATTTCTAACATGTGGTCAATATTGGTGTATCATACAATACAAGATGGAGAAAAAGATGTTTATATGTAACTTTTTGGTCTCATAATCATATGCGTCATCCTTTAAAGCATGAGGGAAAGTCTTGGCTACCATTTATCTTGCTTCAAGTCTAAGGATTTGAGGCTCTAATCTAGTGTAATAGTCTACATATTTGAACTGTGAGCTTTGATTTTGCATGCTGGATACCAGACTGGATCACAACTTTAAATTCTTAAGGATGAAGAATAGCAAGTGAAAGCTAAAGAGATAGTCACCTTATTCACTATTGGTTTGACATGTTGCACCATGAAAAAGGAACATCAAATTACTTAAAGTAGCTTCATCACCATTTTATGTCCTAGTACAAGACTTAGAGTCGACAACATGTAGAAAATAATATTTTATGACCACCTTTGTACCAATCAATGAGAGCAAAATCTTCAACTTGGCCTTAAAGAAAGAATAAAAAATGTCAAAGGAGGCTAGCCACCTCTCTAATCCTCCAATGGAAATTAGTCTTTATATTTTAATACCCTTATTCATTCCCTATAAATACCTTAAGTGATCATAACATACCCAAATTTGTATGAGAAAAAGGAAGAAGCAGTCAGCCAAAAGGGAAGAAAGAAGGATACAAATCTAGAAGTTTAGGTTTTCCTACTTTTGATAATAATCCTTATATATCTCTTAAAGTTAATTATTTATGAGCTTTTAAAAACCTTAGAACACATTTATGAAGAAGAAAACAAGAAAGAATTACATTCTTCCTAATTGAGCCAAAATGAAGTGCATTGTGCCAATCGAACCTCAAGAGAGAAGTTCAGTGCCCAAAAATATTGTAGAACCAAGTTCAAACTACACAAGAAAAAACATTATCATAAGTGTGAAGGTAAATGCATAATAAACCACAAGAAAGATCATGGAGGACCACAGCTAACACTAGTTGATATTACTACTTTAAGATGGACTAGTGCTTCCTTCAACCTAAAATGTTCAGGACCTTTAGCATTCTCTTCTAATTAAAGTTGCACTAATGCGGGAATAGGAGAGTTTCCTTATCACACCCTAGATACAACAAGTACAATCTCTCAAACACAAGTTCATAAGAAAACATAAAGAGATTCCAATAATAATCGAAAGAAAATATATATTTTTTTTTTTGATAAGTAAAGAAACTTATATATATATATATATATTAAAAAAGGTCCTAGTATACTAGAAGTATACAAAAAGACAAAGTAGTCAAAGAATACAATGGTCCAACAACTCTACGGGAGAGCTGATGGAAAGAATACCCAAGCCCTTAACCCACTCAAACAATAATAGCATTTCTTTCCCTCCAAACACACCAAAAAACACAGTGGGGAACAACCCTCCTCACCATGGAAGTCCTGCTACTACCACTAAACCCCTTCCAACATGAGAGAAGATCAAAAACTATTTTTGGCATGACCCACTGGACCCCAAACAGCCCAAACACCAAATCCCACAACTCCCGAACTAGCTTACAGTGCAAAAGAATATGGTCAGGACTCTCCCCGCTCTCCCTACATAAACAACACCAATCAATCAAAATAAGGCCACGTTTGCGAAGGTTATCAATAGTCAAGATCTTCCCCAGTGCAGCAGTCCACGAAAAGAAAGCCACTCGATGAGGCACCTTGGATCTCCACACACCTCCAAGGGAAAGATGTAGGATATGGGGACCTCAAGGAGCGGTAGCACCTCTTACCTGTAAAAGCAGTAGAAGTCAAAGAACCCCAACTAATCAGATCATCCCCTCTACCTTGCACCTTAATTGAGTAGAGGAGCTCCATAAAAGAAGAGATGGATTCCAACTCCCAATCCTGCACACTCCGAGTGAAGAGCACATTCCAGTGAAGCATACCATTAGTATAAGACATGAGGGCGGCCACTGACAGATTTCTATCTAGAGCGATAGAGAAAAACTCTGAATAAGCCTCCTTCAATGGCACATCACCACACCATCTATCATGCCAGAATTTCACCCGAGATCCATCCCCTACCAAATAGTACAAGTTTTTTTGAGAACGAAGACCAGCGTTGGTGAATAAATTTCCATAGACTCACCCCATGAGAGTCCCTCGCTTCCTTGGTACACCAACCCCCCCAGTTGGTGCCATATTTGGCAGCCACCACTTGCCGCAAAAGAGCATCCCTCTCCATACCAAAACGCCACAGCCACTTGCATAAAAGAGCCTTATTGAAACGTTGAAGGTCCTTTACCCCCAACCCTCTATACAGAACAAGCTTGCAAACCTGAGACCACGAGACTAAGTGAAACTTTGTCTCCTCCACCATGCCAGACCAAAGAAAGTGCCTCTGTATCCTCTCTAAGAGATGTGCCACCCCAGCCGGAATAGGGAAGAGCAATAAGAAGTAGGTGGGTAAACTAGAGAGAGTGCTCTTAATTAAAGTCACCTTCCCCCCCTTTGATAAATAAAGGTGTTTCCAACCTGCTAAGCGCTTCTCCATACGCTCAATAATTGGATTCCAAATCGATTTGGCCTTAAAGGAAGAACCCGAAGGCATCCCCAGATATTTCATAGGGAGATACGCAGTTTGACAACCCAAGATATGAGCTAAGTCCTCCAAATTAGGGACCTCGCCCACGGGAACCATCTCAGACGTACCCAAATTAATCTTCAGCCCAGATACAGCCTCAAACCATAGAAAAATAGATCGCAAATGCTCCAATTTGATCGGATCAGCATCACAGAAAATCAAAGTATCATCCACAAAAAACAGATGAAAGATCCAAACCTGTTGATCTTGAGGGGACCCCACCATGAAACCTGAAAAAAGACCTCCAAGAACAGCTCGGTCCATCATCCGACTAAGAGCCTCCATAACAATAACAAAAAGTAGATGGATAATGGGTCCCCTTGCCTTAGGCCCCTCGAACTTGCGAAAAAACCACTCAGACCACCATTGATGAGGATGGAAAAACGAACCGTAGAGATGCAAAAACGAATCCACGAAATCCATAACTGCGAAAATCTGCATCTCCGAAGCAAGTAAAGTAGGAATTCCCAATTAACGTGATCATAGGCTTTCTCCACATCAAGTTTGCATAAAACACCAAGCTCTCCCTTCTTCAATCTACTATCCAAGCATTCACTAGCTATAAGAACCGAGTCCAAAATCTGTCTCCCCTGGACAAAAGCATTTTGAGATTTTGAAATTATCTTTGGCAGCACCAATCTCAACCTATTAGCCAAGATTTTTGCTAAGATCTTGTATAACCCACTCACAAGACTGATAGGACAAAAATCCTTCACCTCTACCGCCCCCGCCTTTGTAGGAATTAGGGATAAGAAAGTGGTATTGAGACTTTTTTCAAAGGATCTAGACACATGGAAAGCCTTCAACACAGCCATGATATCCAAACGAACAACAGCCCAACAGACTTGAAAGAATACCATAGAGAAGCCATCTGGTCCTGGAGCTTTGTCTCCATTGAACTCTTGAGTAATTTCCCACACTTCCTCCTCCTCAAATGGTCTCCCTAACCATACCGAATCCTCAGTTGATATCATAGAAAATTCAAGGCCATCAAGCAACGGTCTCCTAGACCCTCCATCCTGATATAAATCTTGGTAGAACTGAGTGATCCTCGTCGAAATTGCCTCTTGATCCGTAGTCAAGACTCCATTAAACTTAGTATTTTTATCACCTTCTTGCAACCAAAGGACTCGAGATTTCTAGCGCCAACTTATCTCCTCTTGCAGAAACGACCTTTCTATCTCCTCTACAAGCCTAGTCTTCTGAGCTCTCTCTTCATTAGACAAAGGATGTA